CGCCGCGGCCAAGGGTCCAGGCGTCGGTTACCCCCAGCCGCGCACTGTGCCCGCCTCCATCACCTTGGTTACAAATCTTTCACCGCCCGCAAAGCTCTCAGCAACCAATCGCAGGCGTGCATTAGGACGTTGGGGGCGGGGAAACGTAGGGAGCGGATTTCCGTGATAGGGAACGTCAAAGAGGGACGCTCCGCCTCAGTAAACCTGTTGTGGATTTACGAGGGTGTTCATTAGCGGTGTGGTGACTAAATCTTCGTTGTGCTCATTTTATGGATGAAAGAATCGAAGCTAAAAGCCTGTTTTCTTGTAACTTGGTGATCAGTTATACCTTACGGTATTTGTGAAGATTTAGTGGAAAGCAGATTTTAAGAGCATTGTAAATTGGCAAATCTCTAGAAAGCAAGTCTCCCCTCTTGAATCAGATAATGTACACGCCTGACACGCCCCCTTAGTTCCGGTAGAGAAGTCCCTACCCCTTGAATTGGCGGCCTTATCATTTACATCATAATCCTCACATTACGAAGATTATTAGGCAGTAAAGTGGCGTCTTCCTTAATTTTGCAAAAGTTACATAGCCAGTTTGAGCAACACAATCACGAATCCTCATAGAGATTTCCTGGAGCTGATTTCTCGTGATCATCTTCCTAAATCATGGGGTCAGAGTGGAGGAACGAAACTTGATTTCATGTGTTCTGGTTATCTATTGCTGTTACAAGCCACCTGGAAATTTAGTGGCTTAAAACAAGTTATTTTGCTCACTAATTGCAATTTGTGCAGGGCGTGGCAGGGACAATTAACCTGTCTTCCATTTGTCAGCTGGGGCTTCACTCGTATGACTGGCAAGTTAATGTTGGCTCTTGCCTGGTATCTCACTTGTGGATGTTGGCCACAGAACTTGGGGCCAGGGTTGTCTGACTTTCTCTCCATGTAAGTCTTTCTGAGGATGCTTGGGTTTTCTTGCTGCATGGTGGCTGGGGCCAAGAGCAAGTTCTATATTTCAAGAGATAGAAAGTGAGAGCTGCGTGCCACTTAAAGCCTTTTACTGTGCTTAAAACTGGTACAGTGTTATTTTTACTGTGTTCTACTAGACAGATAACCCAGATTTAAGGGAAGGAGATGTAGACCTCATTTTTAGAAAAATGTATGTGTGCTGGGGATTGAACCCAGGGCCTTATGCATTCTTGTTAAGCACCGAACTACTGAGCTACAACCCCAGCCTTTTTTATTTTTTCCAGGACTGGGGATCAAACCCAGGGCTTTGCATGACCTTAGCTCTTTTTAGCTTTTGAGACAGCATTTTGCTAAGCTGCCCAGGCTGCGCTTGAACTTTCGAACATCTCACCTCAGCCTTCCAGAGTATTAATTAGGTATGTGCAACGAGGCCCTACTTAAATGATGGAACGAATGCCAAAGAATTTAAAAGTCCATTTTACCATTCTTGGTTCTAGGAACAAAGGGAGATACAGAGAATCGGTATCCACATATGTATTCAGGCATGTGCCAGATACTCTGCTCAACATTACAAATAGTTTTGAGATATTTGAGACTGAATGAGGAAAAAAACAAACACAAACCCCCTGTAAGGTGAGCATTATCATCTCCATTTTACAGACTGGGAAATGAAGCTTTAGTAAGAGTACAGTTCAATTCCCACTTTGAAGTACCTTCTATCAACCACCATGCTATATATAGCCCCTAATCCTTGGGTCATTAAACATACTTGGAGAAATCAGAGCATGTCTTTCTGTTGAAAACAGAAAAGTGGTCTTTTAAATTAAAAATTGACAAACACATTAAATCATGCTTTCCCATTAATGATTTTTAAAATTGTGAATTAGCGTTAAGAATATTTCTAAGTGAATAAATAGCAAAAGAACAACAGTTGCTAACTTGGAAAGAGCTGATCTTAGTTGGGCAGTTTGTTTTCACGGATACACATTCAAGGCAGCTGAAAATGCAGAAGTCATTTCCTGCTGCTAATATTGCTTTAGTTTCCGTGACTGAATCACTGTTTCTTGGCACTCTGCACTGGCACCATGATTTTCTCCTGCTTTACATCATTCACAAAAGGTGGCAATTCACTAATTTTTTTTTCCGGAGCCCCAAATTTCCTGGATGAATGAGTGAAGAAATCCATAATTTAATTTTTTTGTTTTTCCTGCTGGTAATGCTATATCAGCAGTAAAAGTCTAGTTTTTAATCTCTCTTAAAATGCTTACCTGCAGCACAGGATATAAATGTTTACTCTCTTCCACAAATGCTTGCTAATCCCTAATATTTTCTATGTGGAATAAACATCATTCCTTTGAAGTAGTTACATGATAAAACTTTGCTTCCATCCTGGATGGTTTGATTAAATATTAAAGTCTTTTTGTTTTATAGTCTAGAAGTTAAGAGCTTAAAAAGTAGACTAATTTAGGAACAAAATTCAAGGGTACATTTCTAGAAAGCCGACAGGCTCCTACATTCCTTTGATTACTGGCAGATTATTAGTTCCATCGATTTTTCTCTATTTCCACTGAGTTTACAGGTCACTTTTACCTCTCCGCTGGACTACTGCAATGTTTTCCTACTGGTCCTATGATTTCCACTTTTCGTTTCTTCTCTATCTTTACTCAATCCTTCCATTTCATTATTCTCCCAACATATATGAAAGCCATCATTTAAAAAGTTTTTTTTCTGAGACAAGGTCTTGTTAATTGGTCAGGCTGGCTTTGTTCTCAAATTCACTATGAAGCCAAGACCTTGAACTCAACATCTTCCTGCTTCAAGATTCCTGAGTGCTGGTGTCTGCCATGATGCCTGGCCAGAGCCATCTTTTAAAAGTATTTATCAAGGTACTTCTAAGCTTAAATTTTGCTTTATATTATGCTTAGGAAAAAACACAAAATCTTTAATATGGCCTTCACAAGCAGCTCCAACTTCTCCACACTTGAGCACACGATTTTCTGCATTTGCATCCATCCTCTCTGCCAAGCAGCAGGGCCTTTCATCAGATCCCAAAGCCTCCTGAGCTCTGTGCTCTAATTAGGGCCTTCTGCTACGAATGCTATGTTCACTTAACCTTCTAGTCCTTCTGCCTGGCTATGTTCTACTTTCCTTTAAGTTTTACTGGTGTTATTTCCTCAGGTTTATTCTGACAGCTCCCACTCTTATCCCAGCTAAACATCAAAAGTGCGTTTCCCCTCATTCTCTTCCTGTTCCTTGAGGACACTAACAATTTATTATAATAAACAAAAATATATTGTTTTCTCCCTGCCACCACTCTGTAAACATATTTTGTATACCACACAGTGGTATACACAGTGCCCAGCACACAATGAGGTACTCAATTAAGATTTACTTGCTGAATAGGAGAATAAGTGATTGAACTTATTATTATTATTCTTTTTTTAAAGATAAGGTCTGACTTCAGACTGGCCTCAAACTTTTTCAATACTCCTGCCTCATCTTCCCATGTGTTGGGATTACAGTGGTGCACTACCATAACAAGCTTACTTCTTTTTTTTGTTATTTTTTGAGACAGGTCTTGCTATGTAGTCCAGGCTGGCCTTGAACTCACTATTGTAGCCAAGGCTGGCCTTGAATTAGAGGCAATTCTCCTGCCTCAACCTCCCGAGTGCTGGGATTACAAGACGAGCACACCCAGCTATTTCTTAATTCTTGTACTTGATTCTCTCCTATCCTTCTCTCCTATTCTGAAAGTAGTACTTAAACATATATCTTAGAACTATAGCAGTAGACAATGAAAATTGTGAAATCTTAGTCAAAAAAGGCAACAGATGTTTTATTCTTCAATGCAAATTACTGTATTCATCACAAGCTAAAGAGAACATGTATCTTTATGTATAATATATACATATATATATGTATAATATACACACACACACACAAACACACACACACACACACGGATTTATGGAAGACTATAGACATGGAAAAAAATCCAGCACCCCAACAAGTACAGCCAGGAAGGAAATCAGCTCTGCAATAGGACAGGTTTAATGAACTATAAACAAGAAAGAATGGTAAAGGAAGAAAAAAAACTGTGCATTGAGTTTAAGACACTGTAAAACTCAGAAGACATATTTACTATTCAAGTATAAACTCAGTAAGGACTTGGCATAAATTGAAAGGCAGCTGCTGAGGTACACCATTATAAAATAAGTCTATGAATTTACAATTCTACCTTCCAATTTTCTGGGAGAAAAAAACAACTCTTGAAGGTCTTCACCAGAGACCCTGAGAGGGATAAACACTTTTGATGACATAGTCAACAATCCATGATTGAATTTAATATTCAAAAACAGGTATTTATTTAAAACAATAGGCATACGTGTTCTCAGACTGTCCTCTAGAGTTTTTGAGATTATTAGTTCAAGAGTTTCAAAGTATATTACTTCCAAAAACAATACTGATTTAAAAAGAATTTTTAACAACAAAAAACCTGATTTGATGGTACCTTAAAAATACCCTAAATACCAGTCTAACATTGCAAT